TTGACCACCTGATCAGAAGCATGCCTAGGCGCGTTGGAGAATGCGTAGCACATCAGGGTGCATCCACACATTATTAAAGGTCAAAGGGCTTTAAAGCAGTGCAATCATTTTGAAATTTTTATCATTTACTTATTATGCTTCATTAAGTACTTTTACAAAATTTTATTAAAATAAAACCATTTAAACTGGGTGTTCGGATTTATATGTCACTTAGTATATTAGTGCTTCTTCGAAACTCTATGGGCAAGTTTTTTTTGAATAAGCTGGAGTTATCAGTTGGTACACTCAAATCGTACCCTGGCCATGTAATATATTTGCTATTTATTTCATAATCGCGAATAAATCCATCGTTGTGGTCAAAGGCGGAATACCCTTTTCTGAATGAATAGTCTATTGTCGCTTATCCACATATGATTACATTGTTGGTGAGATGTTAATAGATTAGGGCATAAAGATGTGATTTTTGATTGATGTTAGGCTTTAATTTCAATACTGTAAGATATAAGCACTGTTGATTTTTTACAAACATGATGAATTTACCATCCATGTGTTTCTTCTGGGCAACTGCGTTTTGAACCTTCCTGTTTAAAGTCTGTTTTGCTGTTTTTATTTCCTCGCGCAACTTAATGATCTGTTTATCAACTTCTGCACGGCGTGGCATAGTATCTCTGGCAGAATACAAAACATTTTTTTCGAGTAGAGCAATCTTATTTTTCATAGCTTCCTGATAAGGTTTTGCTCTCTGTTTATCTGTATTTTCATTAATTTTGCATTGCTGTTGTGATTCTTTACCGGGTTTTTATATTCTTCCTCTTTTTTAATATTTGAAGCTGACTGTATAATGTGTGTTTTTTCTGCAGGTTTACAGGTTGCGTAAAAATAAAAACTTTCTATGGCTTCTGCTAAAGATTCTCTTATTAAGCTACATAAATACAATGTATGGCAATATATATGGTAAATACAAAACCCTGTGGCTTTAAATCTAATATGTTTAAACAAGCAATTTGTTCCGGTCACAAAATACAGGGTGTTAGTTTTCTGTATATATGTATAAAACTAACATCCTGTACTTTGTGACCAATTGACGGAATCAATCATAAGAAATAAATCTATAATATAATGAATATTACCTCTATACTTTGAGATAGGCCATAATATTTTCTAATCAGTAAAGAGAAACTTTTTGGCGATTTCTAATATTTCTAGTACTCATAGGTACCTAAAATGATTTCGTCATTCACCTTAGAAAAAAAAATAGTAGATTGGATTTATTCTTAGTCGCCGCTTGCAATTCTTCTTCGATTCTCTTAGATACAATAATATCTAGTTCCTTGTCGGATTTTGCTTGTAATTTGTAATTTGGCCACACTCCGTTAACTAACTTTTGTACATTTTGTACTTACGTACTTGTATGAGATTTTTTAAAACTTTCAAACAATTTTTGGTATAACTTGGATTTGTCTATGTGAAACGACATCTTATTTAAACATTAAACTTTGGCTAATGGAATCAATGGTAATCAAATGTTAACTTGCTTTACTATGCTTACAATACGTCTACTCGCTATAGTATCCAAACGAAACAATACACTGATAGAGGAAATTTAGACAAGTGAACACCCCGATATTCACTAAACGTATGCATTATTTGCGGGCATCCCCGAAAATGCGTTTTGTTTTCAAGCAAAGACTATGTGAGGGTTGCCATTCGTGTAAAAAAGTAAATAACTACCGATGACGTAATCATCATCTAGACTCCCCTACCCCCCATGTCATCCAAAATAAGCAAAGCAAAGATCCCCCCGCCCCCCCCCCCCCCATAGTGCACACGTAATCCTTGAACGGCCACTTGCTCCGTGTGCCTGTCCTTTTTTTCTGCCCGAGTGCCCTATCCTTCTTTTTTGTGGAATTGCGTATTATTTTTTTCTATTTGTCAAATATCGCATTCTTTATGTATAATATTTATAACGCTCTTAACCCCGGAAATTCTACGCACTTATTAAATACATTTCATAGATTTACCCGTTCATACAATGATACAACAAACAACTGACGGTTGTCTCACTGGATGACAGGCGGAGTTAGTTACAGCAAGGTTTCCAGAGCTCAGAGCCAACCTACTTAACGCCATTTTGATTCAAGACGTGAGCTGAGCAAAGCCTTTTTCTGGTAGTTTGTCAACCGCCCATATAGTATTTGAAGGAGGTTGAGGTCACCTTTTGACGAAGTGCGGAGAAAATCCTTTCAAATATTGACCCAAAAATTCTCTGTTGCTTGGTCTATAAAAGTACTGCTCTAAGACAGTCTAATTTTCTATGAAATAAGTTAATGTATATTTTATGACAAAAGTGCAAAGCGGACGGAAATTTAACTGTAAAACCGTGGATCAGTTATTAAATTATAATAACTAAATAATTAGAAGTTGCTAATTATGCTGCTAGTTAGGCAAATATTGACCAGCCAAATCATTATGCAGGAACGTACGTCATTATATTGAATGAGTATTTACGTACTTTTATCTATACAAGTATTTTTATGAAGTTAGTGACACGGAGAATTAGCAAATTAAAAGAAAATTTTCTTGATTTTCAAAATCACAAAAGATGACTATTACGTCATACCATAAATTGTACGTACGTACTGAAGTAATCAATGGACGTACGTCGATGATAAAATCACGATGTCAGGAACATAATGACAAAATGACAACAAGTTTATATTATAATTGTGCGAAGTTAGGTTATTTCACTGATTATTTATTTTTATTTACATTTCATTTCATGGTTTTGAGTGATACCTTAATAATAATTTCAGTGGGAAGTTTTGTTTTGAAAAAAAAAAACAGTTATGAGTAGAATACCTTAAGACAGGAACACCAAAGACCAAAGTATTATTAGAAAACAACCTAACCTGCTTTAACATAACCTAACTATTCATCTTTCAAACATGATCGAACATTTTTTCTTTGGCTGTAAGACAGAGCCATGCAGCCAGAAACTAGGTTGTATATTTATATTTCAAATTACGGACAAACACACGACGTCACAACATCGATGGCGAAGGCGAGATTCGAACTCGCGGCCCGGCCGGCCGGCTGATCAGTAGCACGACACTCTGACCCACGCGGCCAACCGAGGTCCCCATGATCGAACATGCAACATGAAAACAGCGTCTATCGTTGTCGGATACATGCAAATTAGCAATACAGTTTGTTTAGACCAGAGTTCCCCAAACTTTTTTGTCTCGTAGACCCCTTGCCATGTTTTTCCGTGTTGGGTAGACACCCTACTTACCTGATATTGATTTCCTGTAAATTTCTAACTGTAGTGAAGTTTAGTGTTAAAAACTTAAAGTAAAAACACATGTTAATTTATACATTTATTAATTGAATTTAAATTAAAACTACTCAAAATAAAATTTTGTATCTGTTATGTAAAACATACGTAACATTAAATAAACAGGTGTCTGACCAATAAGTGCCCGCATTGGGAATAAGTGCCCGCATTGAAAAAAAATAAGAGGGATAAAATAAAAAAAAAGTGAAAAATAATAAAAAAAATTTTTTTTACTTAAAATAGTACAATAGGCGAGTTCGTTTATTAATTATAACATAAACGTATGTTCCACAATAATTTCACTGTTAGTTTGATTAAATTCCGCTTCTTATACGTTTAAGTTATCTAAAAATAGGCAAAAAATTAACGAATTTTAGTGTGTACCTATCCTTGAATTTTCAGAATAATTAAAAAAAATATTTTCTATAAAGGGGGTTCTTTAAAAAAATCAATGCGGGCACTTATCCCCAATGCGGTCATTTATTGGTCAGACACCAATAAACATAAAATAAACTATAAATAAAATAACATAAGCAATAAGTCAATATTTTTAGTGAGAAGGATGAACCTGATGCTTTAATAATAAATTATCAACATTTGGCGTCAATTTTGTAAGGGTTAATCTTAAATCTCCTCGGCTAATGATGTCCAGTCTGTTTCTTTTTTTCGTTAGGAGATTGGTAACAGCGCTGAACCCCCTTTCCACTACGTATGACGATGGAAAGGAAATTAAAACTATCATCGCTATATTCCATAATACGGGATAAGTAACGGGTATGTTGTTTTGCAGCCAGAATTGCTGATATCCGTTTTTAAACTGAACCTTAAGTTCTTCGTTTGTACTTAGTTCAGTCAGTTCCTCTTGTATTATGACATTCGTTTCTTTATGTCACCATATGGATTAATTATCCACGGTGGTATTACCATAGTCAAAATATCCTCAAACCCTAGATTCAAAATCTGAATAGAGGGCATTTAAATGTTGAACGTAAGTTGAAACGTCGTCTTCCTGGCAGCTTGTCTGTGACAAATTGGGAACTGAGAAAATTTGCGCCGTCCAATATTTTGTGCTTCATTAGTTTAACTCTGGCAAGAATCACTGATAAGATGGACTTTGTTTTAATCAAATTTAAACTGTCGCCTTGTAATTGCAAATTAACCATATTAAATTTTGTAAACAAATCTGTTAAATAGGCGATGTCTGTTTTCCTCTTCATTAAATTTTCTTTTAAAATTTTATCTTTAGCGTCCAGAAATTCTAAAATAGTCTCAAAAAGTGCAAAAAATCTTGTCAAACATAAGCCTTTCGACAGCCAGCGTACTTCAGTGTGAATTAGTAATTGATCAAAGTGTTCGTCATTTTCTTCACACAACTGCGCAAATAACCGCGTATTCAACGCGTTGCTTCGGATTCGGTTTACTGCATCAATGACTAAATGAAGTGATTCATGTAATCTAACACTCAAATTTTTAGCAACTAAATGTTGTCGATGGATGACGCAATGTATTGCTAAGACACCTGACACATTTTGTTTTAAATAGCTTATAAATCCACGATAACGACCAACCATGGCAGGTGCTCCATCTGTAACTACTGATATTATATTTGATAAAGGAATTGCTTTTTCAATGAAGTAATCCTTCAAAACATGAAATATTGATTCACCTTTAGTGTCGGTTATCAAAGTTCTTGCGAAGAGCAGTTCTTCGTAGATTTCTTGATTCATAATAAAACGAACATCTGCCAATAATAATGCTGCATTATCAGGTAAAGTTGACTCGTCCAGTTGTATAGAGAAATGGGTCGTTTGCAAATAATTACATAAGAAGCTTTCAATATCAGAACTCATTTCATCAATACGTCTTTCAACAGTATTGTTGCTTAAGGGAATTCTTTTAATGATATCAGATGCAGGTTTGTGTAAAACAGTTTTTAAAACCTCTTCAACGGCTGGCAAAATTAACTTCTCTCCGATAGTATGCGGTTTTCCGGATTTTGCTATAAGTAACGAGACATTGTAAGACGGTCGCAAACCATCATCATTTCTTTGTGACGTCGAAGCGAACATTCTGTCCAGTGTAGGTCTCTTCTGAAATTTATCTTTGAGTGTTTGAAAGTATTTCAAATCTTTCTCTGTTTTATCAGGGTGGCATCTTCTCAGATGATCTTGCAGTTTAGATGGTTTCATAGCGTCATTTCCCAAAACTTTGTTGCATAAAAGGCACATAGGCGATTGTTTGTCCGGAAATGATGGAATGAAGCCAAATTTCGAATAATCAACACTGTACTGTCTACATTTCTTTTTAGATTAGCTCGAATTACGGAGATTGCACTGTAATTATATTACCGATTGCTAAAACTTTTAAAAAGAAACTATTGAGGAGTACTCGTGTAATTTTGCATGATTGAATATTTAACTATTAATAACTAAAGTCATGATTGGCGTATTTATCTATCTTTGCTAACTACGAGTACAAAACTAAAATTTAATAAAAAATAATGTACTTACTTTTCTCCAGCACTCTCAAACAAAATAACACTGACTCACTATAATTTGTGTGATATACTATCTGTTTATATTTTTTAAAATATTTTCTTAGTACTTTCCTTTTCAAGATTCAGGAAACGAATAAACGTATTTGTCCCACATTCGTATTTATAGAGTGACGAATTGAACAAGTCAGTGCAAGGTAGCGAAGCTCTGAGATTGCGACTCTCAGGTTTTTACAAGTTCAAAATGTATTGCGACCACAAAGCGAATACCAACATCCTACAACTTACACAATTTTATAAACATATAATACATTTTTTACTTCATAGGTACTTTTATAAATAATGTATATGTTTTGATATTATAAGATAGTATGATGTAAGTAAATAGGTACTATTAGTGTATGTGCTGAGATCCACTATCGTGGACCCCCATATTCATTTCATGGACCCCCAAATTTTTTTTCGCTGACGTAGACCCCTTGCAGGTTGTATAGACCCCTAGAGGTCCATATAGACCACTTTGGGAATCAATGGTTTAGACAATAAAATTCTGTTTGTCTCGGTGTCGTTTGTCTGTACTACAGACTAAAATGATGACGTAACCATCATCCTTCGTGATTTCGATTATACTCAAGTATTATAAGAAATTATAACAGGTGGGCAGCATTTTTTTTTTACCGAAGCAGCCTAAATGCTGGTACACAGCGGCTGCTATAAGGAGCTCAAAGACACCTTATTAATTCGACTTTTGAACTGCCAAGGGTAAGAAGAACTAAGAAAAGCCTCCCCAGACAGATCGCAGCTCGACAATCTCGACAGCCTAGAGACAAAGGCACGGTCGTACCAGCCAGTTCTGGATGTACGTAGTTCGACACGGTTAGGAAGGAAGGCCGAAGTCAGGCGGGTCTGTCTGGCAGGAGCAAATCCCGTTGGAGAGAGTCAGATCGCTGACGGCTGGTCGTCGATACGTCACCTTGCCAAATTACGTTGTGTAATCTTGGTGGCAACATACAGCCTAGTTCATGAGCATCTGTTACATTTAGACGTCTACTGAAGTGAACAGCTGATCAGCAAGTGATCTTTGTATTGATCTGTAACGTTGACAATAATGAATCGGGTGTAAATTTGGTGTTGGGATCGTATTCGGGCTTTTTTGACAGCAAAGTATTCGAAGTACACATATTAGTAAATTATTATAGTACATTTGGGATTTATTGGTGAGTCAATAGAACATACTATAGTTTCTGTTAAATTGTCCCATGCGCTACATTTATTTCCCTCCCGCAAGCGCTATTAAGGCGGGTTTACACGTTACGTCTTATTGTACGTTTTGTCGGGCATACAAAACGTACGTTTTGTCCAGTGTACACACACTACGTGATTTCCCTTCCGCTTTCTACTACAGTTCCAATCTAGACTCTTGAGTTGTGTGAAGTATGTATAGTGAATTTTTTTGAAAGTCATGTTTTTTATTATGGAGGAAACACGGGTGCTTTTTTTTATTTTTTTCAACTATAAGGATACAACGACTGATATGAAAAGGGATAAAGAGGGAAAAGACAAAATGGTCAAGGGAGTGGCTTCTGAAAAGGAGCCAGTAATCCGACGTCTCATTATTGAACAACTGAGTAGCGAACTTGATGACTGGCGCAATTATTTGCGAATGGACATCTCAGCCTATTGTCAATTGCTAGAGTTAGTAACAGAGATTTCCGATGCCCTCACTTTTTTCAACCCTTTTTTGTAAGCCGATCTCAACGAGTTTTTTTTTGGAACAGTCTTTTTATTTGCCATCGGGTCTATTTCTTTATATTTTTTTTATAAGATCCTCATACGCAAGGTTTTTTTTTATTACGATCACTATAGTCTTTATTTTCCACTTGCCACAAACATGGAAAACTTATAAATTTCAATAAATTCCCCGAGAAAATTGTGGGTGCACTGCCGCAAGTCTGAACTGAGCCATGATCGGACGTCTTGCGTCTACACGTTTCGTTTTTCCGATCAGTTCTCGCAAAATGATGCTTCTCCCATCAGTTTTTCAATATGACCTTGGATTTCATTTCGATTCGACAAGACGTACTTTTTGCGTTTACACGCTACGTTTTATTGGATAGGATTTGTCCTGTCTCACAAAACGTACAGTAAGACGTAGCGTGTAAACCTTCCTTTAGAACGCAACGTTTCCATTCATTCATCATTTATTGGTCTCTGCGGTTCTCGCACAATCAACCAGCTCAATTGAATTGTCGGGTAGTCTGGCTTCAAGCCACACCATAGACAATAATTTTTACTTAATTTTAATCGATATGAAATGCACTCATATGGCCCATGCCTGCATTCACGAACATTACATTTCCCCAGTTGAGTACATCTCATGACTTCCTGCAATAGTTGTGCATTTCACTTGCCTTTTTCTAATTTTTTACTTACTACCTCAATTCGATCATATACTGCCACACATTTTGAATTATCTTATGGCTGTTTCATTGCTCTTTAAAACCATAATATGGTGTTGTTCTAGAATGTAGTGATGATTAATATAGTCAAAAACTATACTACAGTATATTCAGATAAGAGATAGACCGGATGTAAACAAAAGGTTCGGGTGATTTTCACGCTAACGCCGCCGTCTCGACGTAAAACAGGAGCCCTCATTGGTCAATTCGCAATTAAATGCCTATGCCGAGCGGCAGAGCAGTCGTATCAAGGCAGAGTCACATTCAGGTTCAGACGTGTTACGTATGTCGTGTGCATCATTGCAATTTGATATTTCTTTGGACGTTTTCGTTTGTTATCTTATTAAGTTGTTGAGTTTGTCGTTGTTATTGTTATACCTTGTTATTGATTGTTATTGTTATCAACTGCTTGCGCAAAATACCCAGTAGTACAGATACTGCCGATGAAGTTGTAAACTCCTGTAGTCCACCTAGGAAACGCTCTAAAAAAAGACACCTGAGTGCAGAAATGAAAGAGGTCATTTTGAATATATATAAGATCGAGCGCGAGGAGAACGAGGCATCAACCATCAAAGAAATTGTTGTGAAGGTTTCTTACAAAGTTGGGGTGTGTCGCGCATCAGTGTTTAATGTGTTAAGACAATACAAAAAAAATCATACCTTTTCTGAGCCAATGACCAGTAAACATCGCAAAAGTATTGTTAAATCATTGGATGAAGCTGATAAGCATGCGATTAGGAGGAAAGTGCATAAATTCTTCTTTAGGAATGAAATACCTACTATAGACACTACAAGTAAAGTATGGGTTGATGAATCTGTAACTTCATCCAGGAGGGCCTTTCTAGATGGACTGTCCACCGGATTAAAAAATCCAGCAGGTAAATACGAGTAATAGACAACAATCGGATGTTTTTCAAACCTTGGGAACAAGGTTCTAAACATTAATTCCAGGGGGCAGATAAAACATATTACAAGTAACAAAACTTTTATAACTTTCGATAAAATGCGTGGATGTTTTATTGTCATTTTCATTTGTTAGAACTTTTTTAAGCCATGTTTTTATGTGTTTTCGATATTTCAATAATTTTTTAATATAATCTTAAAATATGTCGAATATTATAAACTTAAAAAAAGTTACTAAGTTTTATATTGTGTACCGTTCCTATTATTTCTAATCATTTTAATTCATACTTTAAGCTTTATAAAGTTATAATTTGTTAATATTAATATTTGCGCGTATTTCAGGTTCCTGATCATTCATTTTTTAAAGGTTTATAACTTTAAATTAAATTGTGAAGCGCTGAGTAATCATACGACGTTCAATATTCTTTCTTTCAATATGACTAAATAATCCCAATTATAGCAATCTGATACTCATGTCTCAATGTTTTTTCGCTGAATGTGATGAAAACATTTGAAAAAGGTTCGCTTATTGAAATAAATCTACACCAGTTAGTACTTCGATTTCCAGGTAAAGGGAAAAGGCTCATTATCTGCCATATTGGCAGTGAGGATGGATTTGTTGTTGACGGTCTGTGGTGCTTTGAGTCTAAGAAAACTGGAGATTACCACGAGGAAATGAATGGCGAATCGTTTGAACAGTGGTTTTCAAAAATTTTACCGAACTTAGAGGAAAACGCAGTAATTGTGTTGGATAATGCGCCTTATCATTCTCGAAGAATGGAGAAGGTCCCAACAACGGCTTCAAGGAAAGTTGATGTTCAAAATTGGCTCCGCTCGAAAAATATCACTTTGAAGAAGCAATGCTGAAAGTACAATTATTAAGAATTGTCAAGGATTACAAGGCGGAATATCAAAAATACGCCATTGACGAAATGGCAGCAAGTCAAAATAAAACTGTGCTCCGTTTACCTCCATACCATTGCGAGCTCAATCCCATTGAGCTCATATGGGCAGAGGTTAAAAATTATATAGCTAAGCACAATACAACTTTTAAATTTTGTGACCTCAAAGGACTTTTCAAAGAAGCACTAGAATTAATAACAGCGCAAAAATGGGAAAACTGTATTAAGCACGTGAAAGACAAAGTTGAAAAGAGAATGTGGGAATATTTTAGAGGAACAAGTCGAGCCATTCATTATTGACGTTGGTGCTTCAGGCAGTAGCGATGATAAAAGCTCATCAAGCTCATCTTTCCAATAAAAGATGTCGTTCATCAAATTCGGTAAGTTATAAGTAATTATAAAGCTACTGTATTTTTTAATTAATTATTGAC